CTTCACAAAACGAAAATTTCACAACACGACTTGCGGAACTAATTAATTTCGTCTTGCGAGGCATCACTGTAGTTGAAGTACTGACCTACACAGAGAAAGCTAATGTATTTGCAAAGACAATTGAATCTGTAGTTGAGTGAGTAGTTAACAGATCTTATATATTAAAATAGTGAGGAAAAAGAAAATTTCTGGAACTGATCCTTATCCATCAATGGCAACTTCCAAAGAAAGCCATGCCAAGCAAATGTGTATACTCCCAAATCATCAAAGTGAACATGTGTCCCTTTGTTTAAACTATACATACAACTGCTGCTAGGCATGAATCTTTCACTTCTAAATATTGTACAGTGGTGCCTCGCTTAACGATTTTAATTGGTTCCCAAAAAATCGTCACTATGGGAAAACATCGCTAAGCGAAACGCGGTTTCCTATTGAAATGCATTGAAATCTATTCAATGCACCTCAATGGGGGAAAAAATTCAACAACAAATTAAGAGTCGGAACAACGTCAAATTAGTTTAACAAAAGGTTTATTAAGTGCACTTATGATTTCAAGCATTCTAAACATTTGTAAACATTTTTAAACATTTTTAAACATTTTAAAAACAGCCAACATGAGGCTGTCGAAACCATTGTTAAGCGAAACAGGGGGACCCAAACTGTCCATAGGAAAGAAAGCATTGTCCCAAACATCGCTATGCAAAAATCGCCCATAGGAAACATTGTTAAATGGAGCGCAAGATCACTCCGAAGTCATGGCTAAGCGAATTCATCGTTAAATGAAGCGCTCGTTAAGCGAGGCACCTCTGTACATATCATATATATTTAAGTAGTTGCCTTGGGCAATTCACAGATTTTCATGCATCAGATTTCACCATATAATGTAACTGTGCTGAGAATTGTAGAGGCTGTTGTTTGCATCAGAGATTCATATCTGTCTATGCCTAATAAGCTAAAATATGAACAAGCATTTTGCCTATATAGGAAACTACTTCACTGTTCCCTATATCATGTGAGCAATCTAATTAGGAAGCTTCTGGTAGCCTCCATTTGCTTATTCTGTCAATTCTGGGACAAGTCAGGATAATAAAGCACATTCTAGAGTTGACATGCTCCAAGGCTGATAACCCTAGTTTCCCAAAAAATAAATTCCTGTGTATTCTTTGTCTGTTAACTCTTAGTTTTTATGTCTTAGTTGTTGTTTTGAGTTATTTCATGTGACTCTGGGCCTTTTTAGACTTTGACTGTGAAAGCACTTCCATCCCTTAAGAGCTTTTCTTGTGGAAGCAAACTTTCTTTCCGTGATGAGCACAGATCTTATTTTGTGCTTCAGAAAAGGGCATCTTGTTAGCTCCTGCCAACATTTTCAGCACTTTACTATGAAACTATGGCCCAACAAGTCATTTCAGCATAGGAACCCGCTTTGGGAACCCCTGCTTCTCAAAGGAGATACCAGTGCCAAGTCTCTTCTGTTCCATGACCCTGCTGTTTGTTAATGGCTTTGTCTGTTGCACTAATGGGCCATCTTACAGATCAAGCTGTCACTAAGCAGTCTGTAGTCTCTACTGGCTTTACCATAGTGCCACTTGCTATTGGAATTAGTCACACTTTGGAGGATCTTTCAATATCACTGACTTCAACTTTTTGATATGATGTTGGACCCTAGGTTTCCTGTCTCCATGGCTGCTCTATCAGTGCTGAAACTAGTCTTGTCTCACTCATGTCCATGTGCTTAAAAACAGAGATGAGATAGCTCATTTGATAATGGCCATCTCTTTCAGTAGGAACTCTTCACACTCAGCTACAATAACCCTAGCAGTCACTAACATAAATCATTTTGGAAATAGCAAAAATAAGCCATCTCTTGGATTCATTGTTGTTCAGTTTTGAGCAAAATGCAACTTGTGTTCAGTCACTGATGGTTGAAAATATATGCGTAATTGGAGAAAGTAAAAGGAGAAATTTATCCAGAAGGAGAAAGTAGAGAGTATAACCCTTGTCCACTTGCTGAATACTATTCCATTAAGTTGACAAAAGGATACTGTCAGTTGTTGCCTTGTGATGCACATTGCTTTGCTGATTCTAGGTGGTTATCATTAAGTACATCACCTTTTGGGGAGTGTTAGCATCCTGATTATAACTACAGATGGAATTCAAAAAAGCTGGTTTTGGAACCATTGTTCTGTATCACATTGGTGGGATTGTTTCTCCATTTTCTGGATTCCTTGGGGAAACTCACGGTAATATGCAACAATGTGGCTCTGATAGATTATCATCTTACAGTTAATACTATTCCAGGTGCCCTTTGCCACTCATGCCTTCAGTCAATAGTTGCCATAAACAGAGCTGTAGGGGAGCTAGCTCACTATAGGACTGTAAGCTATTTTAATTTTCAGGTAATATGCAACAATGCTGCGAACAAGGTCATTTCTGCTAATCTTACTCATCAGGATAATGGCCATGTTTAAGCAGGATTGTGCAGTTGGCATCCTGCTCATTTCATGGTGTTGAAACCACCTTGATTAACAGACTTGCTCTCACTCTCCTGTTGAGTTTGCATTTGATTACCATATGAAATGGAACTTCTGTTTCAAGACTAAGGCTGTATTCTCCATCTTGACATTCCCAACTGCCTATCGCGTTGGTCCCACACCTGCTTCTACCAGAAGGTAGAACAGGCTTGTATGTGTTACATCCATGTCAGTCATTTGCATGCAAGATTCTTAAAATGTGTAGCAATGTAATGAATTAATATGTGGGCCTTCTTTGTATTAGACTTGTTTCAGATATAGAGATTTGCAGTTTTCTTTCTTAAGGTCTACCTTGTGGCATATTTCACATCCTTGTGAACAATTAGTTCATAATGTCTACTCATCTATTGCCAAGAAGTTTTTGAAGGGAATCATTTATTCTTCATCCTTTTTCACAAAACACCTCCCAAAAGGAAGATGTTCTGTTGCTCATACACAGTTATTAGCTAAGGTTTGTAAGCCCTCAGTAGCTTGTGCTCTGTCTTACCTTAACTGGTGCTGTTTTTGTTCTATTATCTCTGAATGAAAGGCTGGGAAGTTGTGTGCCAGCCCTTTATATTTTAACCCTACATCCAAGGGTGGTTCAAGTGCATCCTTATGGCTACATCCTGCCCCACGATTCTTTTGTAGCTCTCAGCCATCCCAGTGACCTTCTTTTTTTCTAGCCAATATAGCTGAATTGCATCCCTGGCAAACCTGCCTTTTGTGGCAACTTGTCTTTTTGTGTCAACTTGTCTTTTGTATATGTCACTGGAGCCCTTTGCACTGTTTAGCACACTGCAACATTTTAAAAAAACTGAAACTGAATTTCTATCTACGTTCACTTTTTATTTGGGGAACAGGGTTCAGCGTATTGGCAGTTTGTGTGCAAAGGAGGTGGGATAAAATTGGTCCTAAACCTCCTAATGTTGCCCAGTCATGTACTACAGAGACACAGGGCAGTTCTGTACTGCTTATCTCTTTTTTCGTGCACGATAATTGTAGACTTGATTTGGGTACATGCTTTCCTAGCCTTTTAGCAATATAGGAAGCTGTCTCATATGAATCAGGCCATTGGTCCATTTTGTCCAGTATTATTAACATTGACGGACAGCTGCTGTTCAGGTTTGCAAGTAGGTACTTTTCTAGCTCTGTTCACAGGATTGACCCTGTGACCCTCACTCACCTGGGGACAAAACATACCCATCTTTTCTCACCATTAAAAGAATATTTCTGCATTCTGTGGGCTCTTGTTTTTGATAAAACACAACAGCAAACTTAAGGCAGTGTAGTCAGATGTTTAATAAGAAAGGATTCTTATTTCCTGCTCGCTAGTTTACTCTCTGAATTTCATTGATCATGCAGCTGTTCTTTAAACAAACAAACAAAAAATCAGTTACAAGAAAGGTCCATGCACTCTCCACCAAAAGTAATTTCCTCCACAGCTTTCCTCAGACAATTGCCTCTGCTGTACTGTGGTCTGGATCACAAACCTAACCTGCACAGACTTCAGATTCAGTACGAAGTGGGCCCTTTCAAATGAAGGGCTACACTGATCCCAAGGCATTTTAACCTCCTTTCCCATCTCTGGTAAGTTCGCTTCTACTCATCCTTGTGTATGTGATTAGCTGAGGTCCCAACATTCTAGAATGAGGTTTGGCACAGAAGCCATATGATTGACTACAAAGTGTTACCAAAAAAAACAACAGTTACTAATCAACTTATTTCTAATTAGTAATCAGAGACTCCCAAGTTTGATTACTCCTTTCAGTAAAGGGAGCAAAAGGTAGAACAAAGCTTCTGTGTGCACAGGCAAATGCTGTGTTTGTATTTTAGTTCATTGGTGGAGACATGACTCAGTAGTTAGTGATCTCATACAGGCTTAATGATACCGTATGGTTTACTGTTATATAAATAAGTCTGTACAAGTTCTCAACTGCTCCATCTCTTCTTTAGTATATCCATGAGAAGGAAAGTGGAAGCTTTTATTTCTGTTTCTAATTCACGAGAGAATAGTGTTATCTGTAGATACAGAACTTTGGTTACATGTAGTTTTTTGCAGAGATTGGCAACCTTTTCAGCTTTGAGGGCTATGTGCAGTGGCAGTTGGTAGGTTATCAGCTGGGATGGAATGGAAAGTGATGTGGGCTACTATGAACTGCCTCTTCTTTAATGAAACAAGGAAATTTCCTAAACCAAGATTTCTGATTAGCTGATTTCAGTAAATCATAGTTAAAAGTAACCACAGTTTCTCTACCTTTTGAAGAAAAATGAGCTACTGCATGTGATAGCAAGAGAGAGATTTGTGATATCTATGTGGTCACAACGGAGGAGATTGGAAAAGCTTACAAGCCCAAAGGTTAAACCTGGTCATTCAGATAAAAAAAGCTATTGCATATAATTATGTCAGAATGAGGACACTGCATGAAAAGTAGTACAGGTGTAGATTACACCATATATTTAATCAGTTGTGTCAATGATTCCATGCAGCTGACGCAAATTCTGAGAACTGGACAGAATACTTGGGAAAGCAAAAACATCCTTGCTGTTTCTTTTGCTCCACTTGTGCAACCAAGCAAGAGTGACTCTAGCAAAAATGACACAGTGGGATTGCGTAAGTATCATTTATTGCACCTTCTCCTTGTACCTAGTGTTTGCTGTGAATTGTATTGGTGGCCCTATTTTAAAGATATACTAGCATGCATTGCTGTGGGGGCAAAATCAGTTCTTCCTACTTGCCTCTTCCTCAGCCATCCCTTTGCCATAAAGCCAACAGGAACAGCCACTCTCTGATGATAGCTCTGTGACATTGCTTGGTGACAGGTTTATGTTGACAACTGCTTCAGTCTTTGTGTTGGCTACAGTAGCAAGCACATTGTGGCTTCCATAAGAATTCTAAGAACTATACGTAAAATGTCTTTTTTCTGCACAGATTAATCTAAATGCAAGTGTATTTTTTTCTCTTTCTGACATAATCATGTCCATCTTTCGGAGGATTTATCCTGTATGGTGTAGCAGTGTAACTTGTCTTCATGCTTTGAGAATGAGAAATATCTTTGATTTCTTCACATAAATAATAAGGTGACAACAAATAAAATTATTTTGTGGACAAATATTTTCATAGAAGGAAGCATTTAGATGAAACTTTATAGTCTACATTCTATGTTGCACCTAAACATTTTGTGTTAAACATTTCAAAATGAAAGTACAAACAACTCATTAGTAGGCAGAAAAGATGCTTTTAGTGATGGATATGAAAACCGATGCATCTGTACATAGTTTCACCATGGCTAATACTTCTGTTCTCCCAGAAGCCTTTTTTATGCTATTGATGTAATATAGTTATAAACATTATTGATGTTGTACCAAGAAGAAAATTCCAGAAAGATTTCATTAATCTGTTTATGTGTCTGTAGATACATTGCATTAACAAGGTGTTTAATGTGATATCTACATGAGGGGGGAAAGACTGTTGAAGGAAACTGTGAAATAAGCTAGATGGGCTGCCTCCTTTGATACAATTCTCTTGTTTTTCTATTAAAAGTTATTATAATACATTTTCTCAATTTATTTTATGTTTTTGCATTTTAAGTTGTTCATTTACTCCACATATAAAAGCTAGGATTTAAAAGCTATTTTGAACAATTATGCATGATTATTCTATCTCTACCCACCCACCCATCCCCATTAAAAAGCAACGAAACTCTGTATCATATGAGAAACAAATATTGAAACTGTTTTCAAAACTGATTCTATATTAGAACACAGAGCTACTGTAAATAAAAGATAATGCCCTGTAGGCCTTTTGAATTATTTTAATGTTGTCTAGATCCTAGCAAAATAAACAATTCTGAAGCTTTAAATATTGACATATTTTATAGTGTGTGGTTCTTTTACCTCTTACAGTATTGCTGGAATAATTCTAGCTTTATTAATAAGTAGCTGTGTCTGAGGCCTGTTAGTTTCAGTTATTCTGTTTTAATTATGGCTAAAACTGGAAGAAACGAATAAAACTTATTTCAAAATGTGTTGTTTCTGAACTTTTCATGTCACTTTACAGTAAGTACATACAGTTCATGTTAGCTCAGTTTTTGACCTTGAAAAATATCCTGATTTTCTTTTTCTTTTAGCACCATGTGCTGTTAGAAATCTACAAGATTTGGCTCGTATCTACATTAGGCGTACTCTTAGAAACTATATAAATGAAGAGATGCAAGCCAAGGGTATTACTCAGAAGCTTCCACCAAAACGTAAGCGCAGAAAATGCCGTAGGCGCAGGATTAATACATATGTGTTTGTAGGCAATCAGCTCATTCCTCAACCTCTAGATAGTGAAGAGGATGAAAAGATGGAAGAAGACAACAAAGAAGAGGATGACAAAGAACACAATGAAGCTTTGAAACCAGAGGAACCGCCACGAAATCTGTTGAGGGAAAAAATTATGAGTTTACCACTCCCTGAATCATTGAAAGCCTACTTGACATACTACAGACAGAAATAATTTTAACAGAATATGATAATGTCTACTTGATAGTTCCATAATTCTTGAAATGTAGCATTTACAAAGAAATACAGGGACAAATACCCATAGTCTTTCAGCAAGCAAGCAAGATGCAGTGGTGAAATGAAACATGATTTGTCTTAACTGTGCTACAGCGACTTGCATACAGTAGTAGATTCCTATTTTAAATTCACTTGATGCTTTTTTTTCCAAAACAAAAAAAAATCTCTTTTAACCCTGATAGAAATATAGTCCAAAGCAGTATATGTCACTAATTAAGAATCTGAATGATAAATCTTTTTTGCTCCATTGCAGATTTGTATTGATGAGAGTTAGATAAATGTTGTAATTGTGAATAATTGAGCAACTATGCTGAGAAATCAGTAGGGACTGTCTACATTAATCCATGTAAGTTCTTGAACATGCAGACAGTTCTGTTCTTATACTGAATTGGAACCCTTAATTTTGTCATCGCTATATTGCAATCATTGTTACTATGCTGATGTGAATGTATTCTGAGGAATACATGTGTGCAATAACTGTGCAGACACTGAATGAAACACGAACATTCAAGTTGAGGAATGTCAAATGGCCCTACTATATTTCTTTCTATATCTCTTGCCAAAAGATCTCAAGAAAAATGAGTGCTTCTCTCTCAGAGCCTTAAGAAAACATTGCATCAACTATACACTTTTTAAAATGTACTACAACCCATTTTCTTTAACACCAGCCTATGATAGTTATAAAATATTTCTCAACTTTCCAGCATTCACAGAAAAAAAAATCTTTTTAAAGTTCGTGGTACAGAAAACCTGTTTCATATATTAAAGATTGTAATTTAGGTTTTTACTGTTATATTTACTACTTTATAGAGTAGAATAAACAAAAAGTTGAGCTTGCATTGCTTTATTTGCTTAGTTGTAATGGTAAATTTTAAGGGTTTTTTCAGAAGGTGCACTTTTAAGTGGATTCTGTTCCTTATTTAATGAAGATAAGGCAAGGCAAGTAGTTCCTACATTTGCTGTTGATACTCATCCTTCTGGAAACCAATTACATTGCAAGCGTGGGAACAGACATTGCTCGAATATTGTTCCATCTGACATTTTTCATTATTCAGTGACATTGTTTGGTTTTTTTAAAATCTTTTTGCATGATGGAATATGTAATTTCTACTAGCCTTATCATATTAATACTTAATGTTAAATATCAGTGAGAAAGAGTTCAGGATATGCTGTAAAACTGTTAGAGTTAAGGATACCTTATATGTTAGGGCCCAATCAAAAGCATTCCTTATGGAGAAACTTCTTGTGTAATTTACAATTGTAATAAACAAAAATTATTAAAGCAAAATAAAATCAGGATACATGAGAACACTGTATACATTCTTATAACCTGATACTTTATTCACAGAGGAAAACCATTTAAAGTATACCTGATCTAAGTGTCATGTTTTTGTAGGTATCTACAATATTATAAGTATTTTATTGGACTCATGCCTTTAAAACACATGGTTATAATTTCAGGTTGTATTTCATGCAAATTAAAGCTTTTTGTCTTGATTACGAAAAATATATCTCTACAACAAAATAGTTTTTCTGGTTTGTTAACCAGATGTGTGCAAATTTACACTAATGAATAAATACACTCATGGCTAGAAATAAGTGTGCCAGCTTTGGTTCACAGAAGTAAAAACTGACGAGGAGTAGAGATTGTCCTATACAGTAAAACTACTGCAGTGCTTTTGACAGATAATCTGTGGGAAGCATTGAATATAGCACATCAATTTTATTTTATTAAAAGGAATGATGTTTTAGGCATTATAAAATTCAAGTTGTATTTTCTAGACTTGAAATTTCAACATATTTTTTCAGTCTTCTGAGTGCAAAATGTTATATAATTGTCTTTCAGGATAGAACTTCAAACAGGATAGTGTTTTTGTTTGTTTTTTAATAATGATTCTATGTGCGTTTCCCATTCTCTTGTACTCTTGTTCAAATAGAGAATAGATGAGGTATGAATAGTCACTATGTTAAGGTGGGGATGTCAAAGAAGTAATGTTTCTTTTGTGTTTGTGGCTTTATTTCACATTCTTGGATTTATATTTACTTTTGAAATAAAAGCTTAAATCCAAACTGAATCAAAATCAAACCTTTTCTTACAGTTCAATAAAATGTCTAATGAATTTGTGCTCACAGAAAAACTCTGCTATTGTTCCCTTTGCTTATTTTGTTTAATGACTTGCTGTGTTTTCAAACTCCTCTTTTAAAAGTTTTAAACAGCATACTAGTGACTAAGTTATGTTATGTTTTTCAGGAAGTTTCAACATTAAAATTACATTCGTACTCAGTGTATTTGTCTAATAAAAATAGAGTAACCAATTGCTATATAATCAAGGATAACAAGAGCAGGTGGGTCTGTTGTATTCTACTTTCACCTTTGCAAGAATGTCTCTACGGGCTGGACTGCTGGTCTGGATAATAATTTGGTCTTAAACAAAGTACAAATATTGCCATGGTTGCATCACTAATACTCAATTAATTTGAAAAGGATGGAAATATTATGGGCTTGACACACCTCTTTTTATGTGAGATGAGCAGGAGTGTGCATACTCAGCCATCCCTCCTGAAAAAAATTGATTTAAAGCTGAGTAACAGTATAGAATTAATACATAACTTAAATATTTCACATTTTAGACTTCTGTAGTTAGCCACACTGGTAATTTCAATTTACACAATGAATGAAGTAATAGTGCTATGTGCTCTATCATACTTTGCACACAAACATCTCCAATGTAATTTATTGTGATATCCATGAAGGAAACTGGTTGTCGGTAAAGTACTCTCCACACAGAAACAAACAATCTTAAGCAGCCCTAGATTTCAAACAGATCAAATAAATTTAAAAGACTAGCCTGGCTTATTTTGAAAGAGAATGAGAAAGAGACTCCATCTGCTTTTTTTTTTAAAATTTGGAAAGAATCCAGGCTGCAAAGGCTGAAATATTGATCCTTTTAAAAAGCCTTTCAAATAGGAAAAACTGATTTTGTTACACAAGGTTACCAGCAGGAGGGTTCCAGAGTAGATACATCGTTGCAGCTTTCTGCAAGGAAGGATGTAGGGCAATGAAAGATCACAGAGACGGAGTCAAATGACAGAATTTCTTTAAGGAGACAAAAAACCAGGGTTGCTTTGAAGAAAATGTAGTGACAGTCCTTCAGAAAGAGATATTTTGCCATGTGGTTCCAGGGAATTTGCATGAAATTTTGCAAGGCATATTCAAAGTATTTCTGCTGCCTTGGATTCTTTTAAAGGAGAACAGCAGGGAAAAATAGTTTAAATAAATAAAAAGCACAAAGCAATTGTGTTTGTCCCAGCCCTGAATGCCTTCAGTAAATGTTATCTCAGGCTCAAAATATTAGACTTCAAAGGAAAAATTATCTCTAGGTCTGGGGCAATCTGCACTTTTGGCCCTGTCAGTCAGTACCCAATTAGCTGACTCTCAGAAGGAGAACTTTTTAACTTTCCTGGCCAAACACATTATAAAGGGATTCTGAGTCTGGTTGTAAAAATATTTTTAAAGATATTTAAACAAGAATAGAGAACAAATATTCTGAACCTCATTGTTTAAGCTGTGAAATTACTGTGTTTGCTTTGTTCCTGAGGATAGTCATACTTGATGTTAGCAGAGTTTTGGTACCAATATCTTGTATTGGTTAAACCCATTTCCCCCACTGTACATTTGTTTGTTAACTAAGGGGGAGGGCGATTCTGAAGATGTTATGTCTCATCAAATCACTTCCGATGTGTGGTGACTGTGTGAGTTAATGGCCTCCAAAATGTTGTATCATTAACAGCTCTTTTCATATACTGGAAACCAACAGCAGCTCTTGTTCTCTCTTCCTACTGTCCCCCCAGCACAATTGTATTTTCCACTAATTTCTGCTCTTGCAAACTGACAACAGTTGCTTACTTTATTGAGACAATCTCATCTTAGGACTTCTTACTGCTTGCCCCCCCCTTTCGCAGCAATATTGTTTTTTTCTTGCAAATTCGGTATTTTCATTATATGTGCATGGTAGGATAGCTTCAGTTGACTCATTTGTGGTCTATTAAGAGTTCAGACTTGATTTGATTGAGCACCCACTCCTTTTCTGGATGTCTTTCATATATATCTGCACAGCTGTTCTCCAACACCACATTTCAATGAGTTGCTTTTTGTCCCTGTTTTTGTTCACAGTCTTTCTTATAATATGGATCATTTTGACCTTGATTTCCAGTGATAGTCTTTGCTAACTCCCAACTTCCTTTTTTTAAAAAAAATAGGCAAGGGAATATGTTTTGGAATATACGCGCACAACGTGTTCATAGAGCTTTTGGTTTGATACACTTTTTCTTCCTCATTTTGCCTGTCCCAAGGAAAAAGAATGGAAATTGGAACATAGCTTTTTAGTCTGCATTCTGTGGAGCAGACATGGCAGCATTAGTTTACTCGAGAAAAGAGTGTGTATGGTTTTCCAATGTATGTGTTGTACCTACTCACACTTTCATTTCACCATTTCATTAAACCCCCAAACAGCTCTTCAAAATAGGAACTATAGCCACATTCCCCAGCTATTCTCACTTTTGTTTTCTCCAAGAAATCATAATATAGATCACATGCTCATCTTCTGGGATCCTTTAGTGCTGGGTAATTCTACATGAGAGAAGTTTATATTGGAATTTGTGTCTACTGTATGTTTATTTAAACTTCCATTTTTAAATGGCAGGAAATTTAATTCTTTAAAAACATCTTATGAATATGTGGGCCTGTTCACACTGGCATATAGTTACAGTATATGGAAGCCTGATGGCACTCTTTGGCATGAAAGAAAGCAATTGCATGTGTTTAATTAGAATGGTCCGTCCTTCCCCTTTAATAACTGTCCCGCACCAAACTGGCACAGGAGTAGAACATGCAATCTATTTGGCACGATGCATTGATATGGAAAATGACTGTTCAGCCTTTGCAGGTGTGTACTTTTACTAAAATGACACTGGGAGTGGCATTAACTGGAGAGATAGCCCTGTGATGTATTAGGTGACTTGTGACATTGAAAGGGAGGGTGGAGAAACCTCCTGTATTTTCATCTTTTATTTTAATAATTCCCCAACCAACACAGTGAAATGCTAAGCCATGCCAGGTTGATGCATTGCCATTTAATATGCCACTTATGTTTTTAACAAACGACAAAAAGAAAAAAAGAAAAGAAAATCACCCCAGCCCCCTGAATGAGGTCTGAGACAAAAGTCTGGGTAGGGGACTTGGTAGACTCCGTTCAGGAGAAAGGCAGGGGAAGGGGGAGTTATTTCCCTTCTATCTCCTCAATCGTCACTCCAGTGTTCTGTCCTCACATTGCAGCCATCCCTGCTATCACCTTACTCATGAGTAAATAAGCTCATGACTAAACCTTGCTTTGAATGGATCTGTAGCACAGGAAAAGACCCACTTTCCCTGTCTCTCCACAAGGATCAGGGAAAGCTTGTAAATGATAGCTGGCTGGGCTACAAGGAGTCATTTACTGTTGGGACAGGAAGAGCACACAAAATGGCACATCACTCCTCCCCACCCACCTCAACAGCCCTTTTGTAGCCCAATCCTCCACACACACAAAATAGTCTGGACAGGCCTACAGTCACCGCACATCAGAAGTTACTTTTTGACATTTTTTCTTCATTACCAAACAATTATATAGGACAAGGGGGATAGAATAGGCACCCAAGTTCTACTAACATCAAGGTAAACCATCCCCAGCCACAAAGCAAAAAATATTAATTTCACAGCTTATTTCCTATTTAAAAAAATTACATCAGGAATAGAATTTTTTTTAATGTCTGTTTGGCCAGGAAGGAAATAAAAAGTTCTACTGGAAGTCATTTAATTTGATCCTGACTGACAGAGTCAAAAGTTCAGATTTCCTTCCCCTTCAGTCTTACAAGAATGCTTGTATTTATAACATTTGTGTTGATAAGAAGGCCAGAAACTCAGAATTCTTTTGCCTTGTAAATGGCTTTTTTTCAAAATCAATATTGCTGCCTCCTTCCAAATAAACAAGAGGGCTGGAACTAACCATTTTCAAGGTGAGCAAGTTTGGTCTTTTAAATGTATTTTATCTTTGTAAATCTGCAGACACAGGAGGTCGCCAGTGTCTGCATGGTAGGGGGCATTTCTACTTTTAAAAAGTTGTGACATGAAAACTGTTTGCCCAGCCATCCCCAGATTTGGCACAGAGCAAGAACAGACTGTCTGCTATAACTTTACCAAATTTGACACAGATCCAAGATCCAGTTTTGGAGCACCCTTATATTTTGAGTTTGCTTATAGAATGCTGAATTAAGCTGTTGCACAATATCTATTGCTGCATTTTCGCGCAGCAATAATAAAAACATTTTAAATATTGGGGGGGGGGCTCCTGTTTCCTCAGGCACCCACGGGCCCTACACTTCTTCTTTTTTAAATACATTTTATTAGTTTTTCACTCTATCTACATTTGATTTGTGTTTGTCAAACATATTGTTGCATGATTTGCCTACAATTATTTGTTTTTTACATCTCACTGTCTTCCCAGTTTCCCCCCCAAATTCCAGACATCTTTCAGACATTCAAACCATTCATGTACATATTTTAGCGTATAATATTGGCTACTATCATATTATTTTCATAGTGTACAATATTCTCAAGATCTAATAACATTCTTAATAAAAGTAGTTCCAGATCCATGCCCCAATCTTATATCTAGTTTAATTTACCTAAAAAGAAAACCCACCATATTACATCTTTACCCTGGTTAGAGATCCCTTATTTCAATTTAATTCTCCTTTTTAATATAAAGGATATGCTCCTTTACAATTCCCGAAGTTAGATACTGTATATACATGCTTTTCAACATTAAGGGCCACCTTCCTATTTTTCCCTTTTTCATATTTCTAAGTAATTCCCTCTCTTATTTCTCTTTTTTCACTTTTTGTTTCTGTCTCTCTAAGCATTCTGCCATCTTTCATGCCCTTTGAAACCATTTTGTGCATCTGATTAATTTCCACTAGATCTTTATGTACTTGGTCTATTTTCAATAGATCTTCCGGGCTTTTTAAAATTA